GCAAGTATAAGCTAGGTTATGAAAGAACCTAGGAAAATATTGTGATTCAGTCCATGCAAATTAACAGTATTCAATGCTATAATCAAATGAGTTATCAGGTTTTTTTTCTTTTTATAACGGATGATATTAAAAATAGTGCCAACAAAAAGATTACATGTATGGAGGTATGTGTACCACAAATTTCTCATCAAAATTGTTTTTTCATTTTTTGAAAATGTAGGTATCATATTTAGTCAGCATCAGAATAAGTTTCCAAGTTTTATTTTTTTTAATATTTATTCTTTAGTTATAGATGGATACAAAATCTTTATTTTTATGTGGTACTGAGGATCGGACCAAGTGCTTCACGCATGCTAGGCGAGTGCTCTACCTCTGAACCAGTACCCCAACCCCTCCAAGTTTTATTTTCTATGGCTTTAATAAATCATTTATTTTATTGGTTTTGCACTTATCTCTACAATACTTCTTCACAATTTTAGAAGTAATTTCTGTAACTGATTTTTCCTTATATATAAAAGCATTTCTTTCTTAGAATTATTGCCATTTGACTTGGAAAGACCTACTTTATTATATCTTTTTTTTCTTTCATAATGTTGGAAGTTGAAGAGATTCTTGAACAAGCTGACTATCTGTACGAAAGTGGAGAAACAGAAAAACTTTATCAGTTGCTAACCCAGTACAAAGAAAGGTAGGCATTATATGATAGGTATGGGTTTGAGGTTTCCTCAGAATTTTTGTTAATTAATGATCCTTGGTGCTTTAAATTTTGTGAATTATTGTAGCTTTTCTTCAATAATATTTCTTAGAGTTTATAGTAATTACTCAAAAGATGATATGTTGATTTAGAAAAGATGGTTCTCTACTTATTCTAGTAGAATATTGAAATCTTTTTTGCCTTTTTATCCTGGACCTTACAAGATATCACTGAATATTTATCTCATATATCTATATTATATATTTCTCTTTTCTTTTAAAGTAATACCTTATTGATATAAGATTTAAATGAATTCACTGGGATTTGAGATGATTATTGCCACCACTGAATAGAAACTATTTAGAGCACAGTTTTCCAAGGAGGAAAAAAAAAAGACTCCTTCCTCAATTTCTAGTACTACATATTTTGTCATTTTACACTTTTTTTTTTTTTGGAGAGTGGAGGTAGAGGAAGACTCTTCCCTGTAAAATAAGTCAAATAAGGCTAACTGAAATTTCCAGATAATCAATCTGCCTCATCTCCTAAGCTAAAAATACTGAATAATTTTCAGCTTTCATAGATCCAAGAAAAGAACATTCTCCCCAAACCTGTCAATTTTACTTCCTAAGCATTTACAGAATCAACCTTCCCTTCTTCATTGTACACTCAGTAACCTGAAGTGGCTATTTAGGCATTGTATAGTCATTTTAGTGGTAACTTGCTAATTTTTTTTTTTTGTTTAAAAATGTATAAAGTAGGTGTAAAGGTAGACTTTTAACAAAAAGGTTTAAGATTAATTTTTAAAAAATTTTGTTCATTGTGGCTATTATTAACTATTTCTTATTTTAAATAATTATATTTAAATGGCAGATTTTCAAGGACTCCAGTACTTTTACTTAAAATAAGCCATGTATTATAGCAGGGCATTCTAACATGGGGTTTATTTTGAGATTACAAAATATATTTACTCATTCATTAACGAATACCTACAGGTATGTGTGGGGTGCAAAGTTTTCTATTTGGGGCTACAGTTTTGTTAGCATTTTTTTTTAAGTGCATGATCCTGTTACAAAGTTCATATATCTTGTGGTACCATCTGAGCCAGTTAGTGAATTATGTAAAGCACATTGCCAGTGAGGTAAAAAGCTTCAATTTACATATTGCGTTTTGTAGGGAAAATGATTAAAGAATTGAAAATCAAAAGTATTTTCTGAGGAAGTCAGTATTTTTGACATTATAGATGAATTAATATTTATGAATAAAACTAGACATTTTTATAGGAAGTTTTAGTAAATAAAGGTTTTAAAGAAAGAAAATAATAAATTTAGTGTTATTAAAAATGGCTTTTGATATCATATTGCTTGCTATATTCTAGCCAGGCTGAAAGTCGACCATTTGTTAGTGATGTGACCTTTAATAATTTTTAAGTGCATTAAAATGGTGGTTTTATATTTTACTTCAAATTAAGTGAAGATGCAGAGGTACTGTGGCGGTTGGCTCGGGCATCACGTGATATTGCTCAGCTTAGTGGGACTTCAGAAGAGGAGAAAAAGCTTTATGTGTATGAAGCCTTAGAGTATGCAAAAAGAGCGCTAGAAAAAAATGAATCAAGTTTTGCTGCTCATAAGGTAAGTGGTTATCATGTAGGTGCATTGTTTATACTTATTAAATTAGTGAAGACATTTATTTTTATCTATTTTGTAACTTTTTCAAAAAGTAGTACTTTTTAATGGTTTATATCTTTTAATATTTGTTGAGACTTGATTTATGGCCTGACCTGACATATCATTTATCATGTGTGTTTGAGAATATGATTCTGCTATTGTGTTGAATGTTTTCAAGATATATGTTAGTGTTCAAATTTTCTTTCTTTGCTGTTTTTCTGTCTAGTATTTCTATTCTCTTTTGGAAATGGTTTGAAGTCTCCAACTATTATAGTTTAATTGTCTGAGTTTTTGCTTTATATATTTTGTTGTACTTTCTTGATAATGTCCTTTTTCTCCACTAACTTTTGTTATAAAATCTATTTTGTCTGGTATTTGTGTAGTCACTCCTGCTTTTTCTAGCACTGTCTTCCTGAAGCATCATTTTGTATTCTTTTAACTTCAGCCTGTTTCTTTGAATCTGAAGTGTCCTGAAAAGTACATTGATTTATGTTTTTAATATGTTCTGCCAATTTCTGATATCTAATTAAGAGAGATTAAGCTATTTGTATGTAAAAAATTGATGATGCCATTTTGCTATTTGTTTTTTATTTGTTGTGTCTTTTTGTTTCTCAGTTCTTCCCTTAGTATCCTTTTTGGGTATTAAATAGATTTTCCTCTTTTTTCTTTCTTTCTTTTAGTGTACCATTTTAATTCCCTTTTGTTTTCTTTTATTGTATACTTTTAGTTATTTTCTTAGTGGTTGTCCTGAGAATTACTGTCATAGTTCATAATAATGTAGTCATTGGATGTCAGTTTAATTTCAATATTATACAAAACTTTGCTCTTATCTCTGCTTCTTCTCCCTTACTTTGACTCAATTGATTTGTACTTTGATCTTGTACTTTCTAACCTCCATAATTGAAAAATAAATTCATAACTTTCTTCCTTCTTCTCTCCCTACTTTCCTTCCTTCCTTACTTCCCTTTGTAGTATTAGGGATTGAATCTAGGGTCTCATACATGCTAGTCAAGCACTTTACCACTGAGCTACATCCTCACCCCTTTTTTAAATCTAAGTTGTCCAGGCTGGCCTCAAACTGTGTCCATCTTGCCTCAGCCTCCCAACTACTGGTGATTACAGGTGTGCATCATCAGACCTGGCTAAATTTCTGTTGTTTAATTTACTCAACCTATACTATTTTGTTATGGTAATCCTTGCAGACTTTAGATAGGTGTTCATGTTTTCTGGTAAAAAAAATCAACTGTTAATCATACTTAGTACATGAGTCATACATGATGAGTCACTTCATTCTTGTTGCTTTCAGGATTCTTCTATTTTTAATAGAAGACAGAAGAATTGATTGTTGTGCCTTGATTATGATGTAACTACCTGTGGATCTCTGAATTTGTCTTGTCTTATAGTTGAATTTTCAGATATTCTGTTTCTGTTCTCTACTAGGATCTATTGTGCATATTTAGATTGCTTAATATTATCCTACAGTTCTCCGAGACTATATTAATTTTTCTTCATTCAGTTTTTCCTTCTGTTGATTAGGCTGGATAATCTCAACTGACCTATCTTCACATTAGCTGATCTTTCCTTCTGCCTGTTTAACTCTCTTGAGCACTCTAGTGAGTTTTCATTTCCGTTACAGTACTTTTAACTTACATTTGTTTGGTTCCTTTCTATAATTTCATTTTATTCATTGTGTCTATTTAGTGAGATATTGTTCTCATATTTTCTTCAGTTCTTTTTCAGGTTGAAATTCATAGAAAGTATGTCTAGGAAACTTGCCCATGCATTGTGATGTTAGCTATGGGCTTGTTTTATTATGTCCAGGGCATTTCTTCTGTAACAGATTTGTTCAGAGTTTTTAGCAGGAAGGAATGCTGAATTTTACAAATGTCTTTTCTGCATCTGTCAATGATATTTTTGTTCTTTTTTAAAAATATTTTTTAAGTCGTCAACAGATCTTTATTTTATTTATATGTGTTGCTGAGAATCGAACCCAGTGCCTCACACATGCTAGGCAAGCACTCTACTACTGAGCTACAATCCTAGCCTCTTCTTTTTGTTCTTAACTCTGCTGATGTGTGGTGTCACATTCATTGGTTTGTGTATATTGAACTGTTCTTGCATCCCTGGAATAAATCCCACTTTATCATGGGAAATAATCTTTTTAATATGCTACCATTAGCATATTTTAATTTACTAGTGTTTTTTCCTTGAGGATTTTTGCACATGAGTCCATCTGGAATATTGGCCTATAACTTTTTTATGTTGTGTTCTTGTTTGGTATTGAGAGCTTGGTGCATAAAGCATTTATATCTATGTAATATATGTGTGTGTGTGTGTGTGTGTATATATATATATATATATATATTATAAAAAAAA